GTCGTGTATTAAGTTTCCTAAAGTCATTTTTAACAATTTTATTTCCCGACGTTTCGATGATATTACATCATTTTCGAGGTTAATTTTATAACTAATTTTTCCGTAGTTATATAGATATCTAAACAAAGTAAGTTTGAAATTTCAAACCTAGATTACGAATACGAACATCAAAAACTAATTCTAAAGTTGGAAAATCTAAAAAAGAAAAGAAATAATTTAATAACAGTGATCGATTTCAACAAAATATGTATAAAAGAGAACCTACTGCCGAATTACACAGACATATATATATATATATATATATATATATATATATATATATATATATATATATATATATATATACACACACACATATATACATATATCTGAATCTGGTTTTAAATTTTGAAGTTGAATAAAAGAAATTTCCATTGTTATTAGTATTTACTGAATTTAGATTTTTTGTAAAAATTGTCCTTTTTTTTGCGGAAAGTAAATGGGAGCCCTAACGAAAAAACGAAAAACTAAAAAGATGGAAAAACAATTAAAAGGATTGAGTGAAAAGAATGAATGGATGATTAAACAAAAAAAACAACTAAAACTAAACCTTATTTTGAAAATCGTAGTTACTGCAGTTCATTGCACCGACCACCATCTGAGCTGCATCCAAAATGTCCTGGAAACATGCCAATTCGTTCATGTATAACAACCAGCATAAATAAAAAAACAATTTTGAAATTAATACTGCAAAGAAAAAAAAATCTAACAATTCCATCGTTTGAGACATACATCTGACTGACTCGGCACGCGACACCATCATCTTCCGAACGGCAAAGGATCATTCGTGAAACAACATCATCTCCGGCATGTCGTGGTGTTAGGAAAAATATTATTCAAAATTTTATTAATTACCAATTGTAAAATAATATTGAGGGTAATGTACTCTGACTGTGAGTAATGCATTGTAATGTTTGACTCTGTGTAATGTATTGTAATGCATGGTGTGTGTAATGTTTGGTGTGTGTAATGTTTGCTGTGTGTAATGTTTGCTGTGCTTAGTGTTTGCTGTGTGTAATAGTGATGTGAAACAAAAACACACAACAATCAGTAAGTGAAAATTATAAAGAATAGAAGTCACCTACCTACCTACAATAAATTAACTCTTATGCCTTAGCCTACCTATGATAACAATTAACTCATCTCAAATCTCACCTACTAATGATCAATTAACTCATCTTAGGCCCTAACTTACCTATATTCAACTACACTCAAACTCATGGCGTCGTCAGTCCAGTAGAGAGGAAAAGTTTTAAGAAGGTAGAAGACAAAAATGACAACACAAAACAAATGAATGTATTGTGTTTATTGTAGTAATGCACGAACGCTGTGTGTATGTATGTATGTGTGTGTGTATGTGTATATGTATGTGTGTATGTATGTGTATATGTTGTAAATTAAAAACTTTACCGCAGAAATTTTCTCTACAGCCATCTAGTCACAATCTTTTAAGACATGTCCGTAATTCGAAGGACACTCCTGCAAAAAATATTTTTTTAATTCATGATGCAAATGAAAGTAAGTTATATCATGAATGCGTGCCAAGTTATGCCGAAATTTCATTTGATTCACGTCATAAATGTAAAACCGAGTTGTGTCGTATCGAAATTAATATCATCACCGCCAACAATCCTGCCACTACTGCTGCTGCTTTTGTTACTTTTTAACTGCTACTACTATTAATAAAGCAGCTGCTGCAGCTACTACTACTGCTACTACTACATTTACTATAGTAAATTTATCAGCGCGTTATAACACATAGCAAAAAAGGCCCATCCTATTTTTTTTTAAAGTTGTACATGTTCAGCAATCCAGCCATCGAGCTAAAAACTAAATAAACATTTCATTTTTTATGTATTAATTAAAATTACTGTTCGTACTACTAAAATACAACTACCACCACTACTATTACTGTTAACATTAATAGTAATTACTGTTACTACTACTGTCGTTACTGCTGCTACTATATTATTATATTATTATTACTGCCAGAGCTTTTTAATTTAAAATAAAATTATTCCCACGATTTATTTCATTACAATCAATGTCTTATTTTTTGAAGAAACGTTCGGCATGCCAACCGGTAAACGTTTATTTAAAAAACTTTTTACATCATTACAACGTTTACCAGGCAAAACCTTAGGATGGCACTGGGAAATTCCATAAAATAGTAAACAGAGTTAAAAATAAATCCAGCTTAATTTGCGCCACTTAGCTCCACCCCTTTTTAATATTCATGTTCATTTTTAATAACCGTTGTATTTGTTGATGTAACAAATGTTTAAATGCGCAACTTTTAATTTTTCTTGTCTTGTAAAATAATAAATGATATTTAAAGCAGTTAATTTTATTGTCCTTTTTAAGATGTTATTTAAAAATTTTATAATTAACGAGTGCAAGCCAAAACACTTTTTTTTTTAGAAGTTAATGATTTTATTTTATCGTAATAAATGGAAAATACAAATTACAATTTAAATCGCAATAAAAAAAGTAACAATTAAATTTTATTTAAATGTTTAAACAAGGTAATATGTACGGATGAGCTCAAGAGCTTTTTGAAACCACACATCACGGTCTTTGATACCGCGCTGCCACTTAAACTCAACGAGATACGAAGAGACGTGACCATCGCAGGTACCATGCATCCGTTTAAATTTATCTTTGGCACACTTCTAAAGATTCTCAATGGCATTAGTACGCACTCCATTTGGAGCAACAAAGCCATATCGATGATTGACAGTGTCGTGTGCCAGTCCCGTAACTCTGGGAATGTTCGCATAAGCGGCCCACTTGTCAGACCATATTGTCGTGCTTGAATGAGAATTAGATAAAATGTTAATATAGGAAAGGTTAATAGAAAATGTTAAAATCATTACCAGGCAAAACATGCCGTTGTGCTATGGGCAGCAAAGTGGCCGCATCACGTTGAGCCACCTCTTCTAAGAAGGCTTCTTTGGAAACATTATTTATGCTGCCAAAAACCCAACGCTGCCGAAATGGCCTGGCCCTTCCATTCCTTGTCCTTTTGTTACTGGACACCAGACTCTCATCAATATGGACAATTCGACTAGGTCCACCAATTATTTATGGGTTGTCTCATACCCAATCGGTACAGAGTTGGCGATGGAGGTTGAACCAGTCAGGCAACGTGTTATTTTTATCTATTTGTAGCAACCAAGCTGTCGCTGCCTTACTGATGTCCTCCATGCTCCAATAATATGTCAACTGAATGAACAAAATTATTATTGTTTTTCATTCTAAAATTTAATATTTATAAAACATAATTTAAGAATAAAAAATAATAACCATGATACATGTGCTCATTGGTAGCTTACATTTTTCATAAAAACTACCATTTCTAATGGATTTTGTTCTGCTGCAGGCCGTATGGTTTGTACAACGCCATATCTGTTCATCTGCTGCTTTTTTGGAATTGTACAAACGCATAACTTTCCCACAAACGCATGTCATTCCAGACGACAGCAATCCGTGTTGCATCGCCCAGTCCACTGCTTTTTGTTTCGAATTTATGGCGTTTGTCAGTTCCATTGATGACAAACTATTAACGGCCGGAAAGTTCATGACTACAGATAAATTCAAAATGTCGAAAAAATGACAGAAAAACCAGACGAAAAAATGACAGAAAAAACAGAAGAAAAAATGGCAGAAACATACGCGTTGTTATTTAAAAGTGAAACATCATACATTCATGAAAAGGGCGCTATAAAAATTAAGTGAAACATCATACATTACGGAAAGGGCGCTATAAAAATTAATTTGATTGATCATAATTTATTTTATTAATAAAATAAATCAGCATTTTCTTTTTAAAATAATTAACACAAGCCGTTTTTAAAATATTTATTATTGACAATTATTTTGAAATGAAAAGCAAATTAAAATTTTTAAAATATCTATTATTGAAAATTAATTAAAAATTAATAAATGAAAATGATTGAAAAAAGATATTTTCTTGTTCTCGTCTTGTAATCTAATAAACATAAATATTAAAAAGGGGGAGGAGCTAAATTGCGCAAATTAAGCTGGATTTATTTTTAACTCTTTGTTTACTATTTTATGGAATTTCCCAGTGCCATCCTAAGGTTTTGCCCGTTTACCACTCAGTTTAAATCGTTATCATCTTTTTTTCGGCAAAACTTTACATTAGCATCAGCGCCTCAACGCAAGCAAAATTCGCGACAGTGATGTAAGAAGGGGGTATTGAATACGACGTAAATAGGTGTAAAAGTGAATTTATATTAATAGCGCTAAATAATTTAAATATTTTTTTTCAAGGATCCACATGAAAATTACTGTTTTGCATAAATATGTAAAGAGAATAAAGATTTTTTTATTTCAAAAGTTTAATGTTAGGACATAACTTTTCAAAATTGATTGGCTTATTCGATTATGTAATAAAATTCAAAAATTTAAATTCAAATTTTGACACTTTCTAAAAATTTTAAACATCGTGGAAGCATATGATAAAATAAAAATTTACTACGAAAACGCTTTTATTCAAATTTGTCAATTAATTTCAGTCATGGATATAAATCCATGATTTCAGTGCCTACGTGTCTCAATTCATGGATGCATACATTAATGCCTGCGTGGTAAATTATGTTTTAAAATTCTTGCAAAAATACATACTATTTCACTTTAAATCATAAATATTTTTATAATTCTAATAATTAACAGTCTCACTTTTAGACATAATTACGCTTTAACCTCCTCTCACTTTTACTTGTCATCTCAAATTTTGATTGCGTTGAGGCACTAGTGTAAAGTTTTGCCTTAATGTAATAAAAAATGTGATTAAACATGAAGAGGAGGGGAGTTAATTTTATATTTGTCCCGGGCGCAAAATACCCTGACTACGCCTCTGTGTGTGTGTTGTTGTGTGTGTGTGTCTGTGTGTGTGTGTGTGTGTCTGTGCAAGTGTGTGTGTGTGAGTGCATCTCAACCAACCTCAGAAATCTTCTCCACTGCCATCCAGCCTCCTCCATTGCACACCGATCAGCATTTGGCGATGGCTATGAGACCATTAGACCTGCTAGAAAAAATATTTCTGAATTTAATATAACAAATAAAAAATAATTTCTGGATTCAATAATGAAAATGAAAAAAATAAATTAATTAACAATTCTAACATTTGTGAGGCAGCCCGCACTGACTCGTGCAGCACCATCTTCCGAACGGCAGAGGATTGGTTGTGTTGTGTTCACTGTCTGATCTGACTTTTGCAACAGCATCATCTCTCGCGGATCAGATAGGGCAGGAAAAATTGGAGTGTTTTTTTTGGAGAAATATAATTTTTAAAGTGTTATTAACATTAAAATGTATGATGAAAACGAAGAATTAAATAATTGTGTGTAATGTTGTGTGTAATGTGTTTGATTGTGTGTAGTGTTGTGTTTGATTGTGTTGTAATGTTGTGTTTGATTGTGTTGTAATGTTGTGTTTGATTGTGTGTAATGTTGTGTTTGCTGTGTGTAATGTTTGCTGTGTGTAATGTTGTGTTTGCTGTGTGTTCGATTGTTTTGTTAGTGTGTGATGATGATGTGAAACAAAAACTAACACATAACAATCAATAAATGAGAAGTAGCAAGAATAGAAGTCACCTACCTACTATAAATTACGCTTAAACCCTAGCTTACCTATAATAAAAATTAGCTCAACTCAAATCTCACCTACTTATGATCAATTAACTCATCTTAGGCCCTAACTTACCTACTTTCAATTAAACTCAACTCACTCTTGACGTCAGTCCAGTAGAGAAGAAAAGTAGAAAGTAGAAAACAAACATGACAATAAAACTGAACAAATGAATGTTATGCATGCATATTTGTATGTATGTGTTGTTGTGTGTAATGTTGTGTTTGTGTTTGATTGTGTTGTAATGATGTGTTTGATTGTGTTGTAATGTTGTGTTTGTGTGTAATGTTGTGTTTGACTGTGTGTAATGTACGTATGGTATGTGTATGCGGATGTATGTATGTGTATTGATAAATGAGTTGGCGAACGTAAAAAACAACTCTACCTCAGAAATGATTTCTACCATTTGAGACTCATCACTGATTTGTCGAACCGAACCAAACAGCTATTTTTCTGTCAACATTTGAAGATTTTCTTTTTTTTTTTCTCTCTCTCTGCCAGTAAGTATGTTGATAGGTTAAGTTAGTTTATTAATGCTTTTTCAAAGTATAAAAAACATGATGATACAACCTCAGAGAAAACGTTAAGGTAATAATATTAAAATGCTTTTAAAGCCTTCCACCGAATATTATTATATCAAAACATGTAGCTTAACTAAGCTGCTTTTTAAATTAAATCAATTTCTCTCGCGAGATGTACTAGCCACAATGTAGCATTTAATTAATTAATTAAATTATTATCGAAACAAAACAACAAAGTTTACCTTTTTTTTGTTATTCATCTTTATTCTTTAAAATTTAAAATGAAATAAGGCAGATTGTTTTAAATTTCAACTTCATCCAGCCAACTAACTTTCAGTAGCTTATTTTTGGTATTATGAACTTAAAATTTTATTAGCTTAACTCCTGCGCAAGTAAAAACATAAGACAATCCCTTTTCACAAGACGTGTGTATGTACAGTACACGTTGTCATGCCAACCAACCAACCAACCAACCAACCGGTCAACATACACTTTATGCAATACAAGAAAATACTACTGCCATACTGCCACTACTACTACCATTAATATCACTACTGCTGTTGCTACTGCTACCGCTACTACAGCTGCTGCCACTACCTCTACTGCTTCTGATTGATTAGATTATCTGTTCGTTCATTCATCTATTCATTCACTCATCTACCCATTTATTTTATTCATTTGTTCATTTTTTCTTCCAGATCAAAGAGTGAACAACACAGAAAAAGATTTTACAATTATATTATAAACATATGGCCTGATGCCGAATGCTGCAATGATAATAATTATCTTTGGGGTTTTTATCAATTTAATTCTTATATCACAGTATATAAGTAATAGCGAAGTAGCATGAATTTTTTTATGTTTTAAAAACGTTAACGATTTTGTCCTCTTAACCCCTTTCAACTATCTTATAACAAAACATTTCCTCTTATAAGAAAATTAATACTGATTGAAAAATATATTACACATCTAATGAAATTTCAACTTATTTCAGTAATTTGCGATTGCTATTAAGTTTATTTACTCAATAAAAGCCCTGTAATAAATGGATGATTTAATTTAAAATGTTTTGCTTAACCCTCTAATAATATTTAAAAAAACAGTTTAATTGTTTTCAATAAATTTCATTTATTAACAATCATTTGTAGTTTACATTGTAATAAATACACAACAAAACTAATACATAATACGTAATGATGAAGATGTACAACCACAATATCACAACATTTTATTAATATACTCCATATAAATAGATAGATGTGTGTGTGTGTTTGTGCGCGCGTGTCTGTGTTTGTGTACATATATATATATATATATATATACATATGTGTATATATATATATATTATATATATATAAATATAAATATATATATATATAAATAAATAAATATATATATATATATATAAATATATATATAAATAAATAAATATATATATATAAATAAAAGTATATATATATATATATATATATATATATATATATTCTACAATAAATATTTAATGGTGAAAATATATTTTATATCTATTTAACAAAATTATTCAAGAATTCACAAGTTTTTAATAAATTCATAATAACGATAATGGTAGTAACAACACAACTGACTACACAAAAGCATTGTTATTATCGTAACAAAAATATGTATATTTATAACAATAATATTCTTGACAAACAATATATATATATATATATATATATATATATATATATACGCGTGTGTATTTGTGTGTGTGAGTATTTGTGTGTATGTGTGTTGTGTGTGTGTAGGCGTGTGTGTATGCCTATCTGTCTGTGTGGTGTGTATGATCCACACGTGTGTGTTCATTATAGTTATTACGCAACTAATAATGTGTTTATTACGTTTAACTAGACCAAAAAAATGTTTTAAACATGAGAGTCAATCAAATAGTATATGATGAATAACTGTTAGTTTTCCAATAAATAGTTAGAGAAACCAATTATAAGGTAAGCCAAATAAAAAAAAATAGTAATAATAATAGCAGTAGCAGTAGTCGCGTTACTAACAACAGTACTAGTGGTGGCAGTAGTAGTAGCAGTAGTTATTATGGTAAAATTATTATTATCATTATTATTTTTATTGTTATTATAATGGTTATTATCATATTATTATCATCTTATTGTCATTTATATTATTGTTATTATAATCATTATTATTATTGTTGTTGTCGTTGTTATTGTTGCTATTATTATTATTATTATTTTTATTATTATTATTATTTTGATCTGCCCGGCACGCTGCTGCTTCTCGCTTTGTTGGTCTCAGGAGGCAGGCTCATTCGTCTCCTGGTCATCATCTTGAAGATGCCTGCGTGTGTGTGTGCGTGCGTTTGTGTGTTGTGTGTGTTTGTCTCTGAGTGTGTAAGTGTGAGAGAGACAGTGTGCGTGTGTGTGTGAGAAAGAGAGAAAGAGAAAGAGAGAGAGAGAGAGAGAGAAGAGCGTCTGAACGCACTTTTTAGTTGCATGCTCTTGTTTTGCTTACCGTGTGTTTTTGTTGGACAATTTTTTAAAATGGTAATAAGGATGACAATTCTAAAATTTTAATAGGAAGCTTCGTTATAACAATCATCCTCGTTGTTATAATGGTTAAGAACTACGTACTTTTTCTTTTTACGTTCGGAGATTTGCCTGGTGAGGTTGAGTGTAACCAGTTTGTAAAATAATTGGCAATTCAAAATATAATTTTTAAAATAAATTCAATATTTTTTTTTATAAAATTAAGAATATAAAATATTTCATGTTTTATTATAGTCATAGACATTCGAAATACTTCGTTTCTATCGTTCAACAATATTCTGACAAAAAGTCAATAAAATACTTTAAACAATTTGTTTACAAGTCTAAAAATCAAATAATTTTTAAATATTATTTTGAAAAACATAAAAAATAATATGATTGTTATCAGTAGAGGTATTATATTTGTTATGGTTCGTAATTCTATGAACACATTTTACAAAATTTGAGAGATAATAAATCGTTAAAGGAAGAACGAACGATGCAACTGTCCAGTGTTAGCTGAAGAGATGTCCAGCCTCATCTTTGAAGCAAACTCGGACACCCTCCTTGTTATCTTTCCTATCTTGCTCGTTGAAGCTGCAGGCGGAACTTCTGGTGGAAAAATTAAAATATAGAAATGACTTTGAGCAAGAAATTTCTAATGACTATGAAAGTTTATTAAAAGTTGAAATGTTATCCGCTATTATAAATGGCTTTAATATATCCTTTCAATGTCCGTACGTTAAAAAACGTAATAAAATGAATAAATAAATGAATTAATTGATTAATTAATAATAAAATAAATAATAAAAAACTATTAACTACCTAAAATAAAATTATTATAAAAAAATTATAGGCATTTATTAAACTCATACCCTTTTCAGCAGAACTTGATTCCTCCAGCTTCTTGCCTGCAAATTACGCAAACATAGTTAACCATATTATTAAAAAGGCGAAAGTTAAAGTCATTTGATCCGGTCTCGTGTGACAGTTGCAAGGCCCAAATGTGAAGAAATCTCTACTTGCATAATGCACTGTGTATGAAGCGTTGATTCGGGCGCACCCAAATACGATGTGTGTGTGCAATTGATATTTCTAAGCAGTGCAATAAAAAAATAATCGTTTCCACTTAAGATCTATCACAAAATTTTATAAAGTTATAACTGTCAAAGTTAGAAAACTTTTCATTAAACGATGGAGCAACATACCGTGCAAAACATTCTCGCTGTCTTTACTTGAAGTGGCTGTAGCTGCGTCACCAGTCGCAACAGCCGCGCCACTACTGCTTCCAGTTCCAGCGCTGTTGTTATTCCTTCTACGACTTTTCACCAGCAAATATTTTGGCGAGGGTGTCGGCATGGGACCACTGGTAGGATCATGTTCCTGAAGTGACAAGGTCAAGGTGACCTCTCCTGTGACGTCAGCATCCTGGCAGACCACCAGCACTTCACCGTAGAAGACATCCGGATCCAATCCTCCGTCGTCCCACACGCTCATCTGCAAGGTCATTGAGGAGAACTGGCGAGGAAGAACATAATCATTATTCCTTTTACTGTTATTAAATTTGATGTTTATAATTGCACTTGATGTGATTAATTAATGTGAAGTGAGTCTCATTTCGCCAACAAAAAATCATAGTTAAAATAATCAAACTTTATGAAATTCTACATCGTAGTCGTCAAAGTCATCAGCAGTCGGAAACACATACAATAATAAGGATATGTGACGATAATATGATAAAATGACATGGTGATAATATGTTAATAATGTGATGACGACTCTGAGATAGAGATAGAATGATGATAATAAGTTAATGATATAACAATTATAATATGCTAATGATGGTAATTATAATATGTTAATTGCCTCTTCTTCAGTGATTCCATCTAGGGTGAATTTTTGATTCCATTCAGGTGAACATGTGCCAGGCAGAGCCCGCGTTCTGCACGAATGTCGGCCTCTGTATGTGTGTTTGTGTGCGAGAGTTTGTGTGCGTGAGTGAAATGTTTGTTTGTGTGTGTGTGTGAAATACGTTTGTATGAGTGTTTGAAGAGTATGTGTGTGTGTTTGCGTCTTAAGGAGGTTTGTGCATCTGTATGTGTTTGTAAGGTGTGTTTGTGTTAAGAGAGATTTTATTGTATATGTGAAATGTGTGCGTGTGTGTATGTGTGTGTGTGAGAGAGAGAGAGGTGGATGTGCGTGTGTGAAAGATGTGTGTGGTGTGTGTAAGCGATGTGGTTAAAAGTGTCTGTGATGTGTTTGTCACAGCTAAAGTTATATTTGACATTTAAGCGTAAGATGCAAAGTTAAACGTAAATACTTAAAAGGAAAAAGTCATTTTGTAATTTAACATGAAATAATTTTAAAAATAAAAAAATAAATGAAAAATAAACTAAATATTGAAGAAAAGGAAATGACAAAGTTCATGCGAAATGATGATACAAAAGCAAGCTGGGTGGGCTTCGAGTTTATAAAACAAAACTTTCAACCTTTCGATAAGTAAGATTTTGTGTAAACTCATCAAGAAAAACAAATAAAAATGTGATGTGATAACAAAATGATGACAAAAACACCATTATTGAATAAAAAAAAAATAGTAGAAACCCTTACAACGATCTTGGCAAGAAACTCATCTTCAGATATGGTTTTGGCATGGAGCCTGACTTATCAGCGAGGTACCCTGTTCTCTTGGGCAGGTCCTTGCACTTCATTATGAGGATCTCAAAACTCTGTTGCGTGGTTGGTTGGATGTCATGTGATGGATGTAATCATTTGATAGTAAGAAAGCGGTGCTGGGTGTTATATGATGTTTTTACAATTTGATGCTGTGAAAGTAATGGCGATTATGACGGCAAAGCCTGAAGCTATAAAAGTTGAGCCTGTCAATAGAAGCAATAATACAAACAATAATAACAATAATAATAATATATTAATTATAAAACTTTCAGACACAATTATTTTTATGTTAAAAATTAAATATCATTCTTTCGTAATTATTTTTAGTTATTTAATTATTTTTAATTATTTTTAATTATTTTTCCACAGGTCTCAACAATAAAAAGTCGCACACATTTTTTTTCAATTTTCAGGCTGCTAACCAAATTTTCATATTTCAATTGCAGCGTCAAAATTCCCTCTATGGATCTCATTATCTCCTCCACGTTCGTGTCCAAAAGTTTCTGCGTTTCATTTGTTCACATGTGTTTACACGGATTTGTTCATGTGTTTGTTTGTTTATGTGTTTGTTTCTGCGTTTTATATGTTCATATACGTTTGTTTATGTGTTTGTTTATGTGATTGTTTATGTGTTTGTTTATGTTTATATGTGTTTACATGTACGTATATGTTCATGTGTTTGTCTATGTGTTTGTCTATGTGTTTGTTTATGTGATTGTTTTTGTAATTGTTTACGTGATTGTTTAAGTTATTGTTTATGTGATTGTTTTTGTTTGTTTATGTGTTTGTTCATACGTTTGTTTATGCGTTTGTTTATTTGTTCATGTATTTGTTTATGTGATTGTTTATGTGTTTGTTTATGAGTTTGTTTATGTTTTCGGTTATGTAGTATTTTAACAATTAAGTTTATAATGACCGTATGATTCTTAACTGTAATCTGTATATTATATAATAGAGTTCATTTGTATAACATTACTCTAACAAAACTATTCATATAGGTAACGATTAAACTGTATACGTAATAAACCCCAGCCCAACAACAAAATGCAATTAACCTGTTGGTCAAACAAAACTGTCAATAATTTCTGCTTGACACCTTCCATATCTTTCTCTGGATAGTTGGCGATGTTGATAGCCGTGGTGATGACGATGATGACCATTTGTTATCGTAATCATTATAACCCTTTTCGCAATCGTCGTCTTCACCATCATCGTCACCATCATCATCACCATCATCCTCATCATCATTATCATCACCACCATCATCATCATCACCATCTACTAACCACTTGCTGTTGATGTCCGGTGAACTTTTTTTTCTTGCTTTCTGTTAAAAATAAACAATTGATCATTAATCAATCTTCAATGACGTCATCGCTTCTTCATTGTCAACATCACCAATCTTCATTTGTTCATCATTATCATAATCATTTTCGTTACCATCGTCGTTCATTCATTCATTTATTCGTTCGTTTGTTCGTTCATTCATTCGTTCGTTCGTTAGTTCATTCATTCATTCATATTCATTCATTCATTTGTTCATTCCTTTCACAGATTCATTCATTTCGTTCTTTTTCTTGATTTCATTTCTTTTCATCTGACATTTGTCATTCGTTCTGCTGAAGTAGTTGCCAGGAGAGAAGAAGAAAAAAGAGATCATGATGATTAATAGGTGGATGGATCTCTTTGAACATGATGACGATGACGCCGATGATGACGCCGATGATGACGCCGATGATGACGCCGATGATGATAACGATGATGATGACGATGATGATGATAACGATGATGATGACGATGGCGTTGTGGTTGTTAATGATACAAAAATAGCAAAGACGCTTGATGATATTATGATAATGAAGATGATAGTAAACAACGCTGGATGATATCATGATTATGAAGATGATAGAATAGTTGCTTACATATATGATGATATCGTGATAACACTGTAAAAAAAATTTTCTCTGCAATTGTTATTTCCATAAAGTAGCCAAAAAAACATTGAAAAATTTGGGTTTAAGATAAGAAAAAACACAAAATGCTTTTGAAGAGCGTTCTGTAGACAAGTGAATGTAAAGTGACAGACACACAGCGCAGTAATTGATTGTTTGCTAGTTTGAAAAGTTGAACTAAGCTCATTTAATTGATTCGTCTCAATGATGGATGGACGAATGAATTGGGGAATAGATGGACGGAAAACACAAAAATTATTATTTATTATATTATTTTTATTATACTATTATTGTTAATATATTATTTTTATTATATTATTATTATCATACAACTTTTAATTACCCAGGTCTTTTTATGACAAGTTGGACTGAGTCACACTTGGGCTGCAGTAGCAATTCTTTGATTTCGGTGATGCTTTTTCCTTGCAATGTCTTTCCATCCCATTCTAAAATGTGGTCACCTGGTTGTGAGGTTAGTAGAGATGATTGTGAATTAATTCAAATAGCAAATTTTGAAAATTTTTCCAATCCCATAATCAAATGTCTGCTAATTTAACCATTGAGAAATTACATCAACGTTAATAAACCAACAACAGCAACTAACACAACATTAAAATGACATCAACCACGTAAAATAAATAGAAAAATACATGAAGTTAAATGGAAAATGACACCATGACCAAAAAACGTAGAAGAAAGAACACCTGACATTAACACACGAAAATTGAACTAACCTTGGATGATACCCTGTCTGTCCGCTGGGCCTCCCTCAAACACGTTACTCACCACAACTGAAACGCTGTTGCCATCTAAACGCTTCTCAGCTAATTTCAAACCAAAACCTTTTTTTTAGTAAGTGTGTCAATTGTTTTCATGTTTTGTATAGTGTATCATTTTTTGATTGAATTTTGTAATTAATGTGTCAAAAAACAAAACTTAAATTTGTTTTTTTATATGAGAATAATAAATCATCTAAACAATCACTCATTCAATTAATCATTCATTCATCCAGTCTGCTCAAATCCAGCTGAAATAAATCATTTTATTTTTCTCTTCGCCATCCATTTTTCCATTCATTTTTGTATTTTTGTTTACCTCTCTTCTTTTTGTCGCCCAATTATTCTTTAGTTCATTCAATCATTTATTCATATTCATTCAGATGCTTCATCCATTCAGTTATTCATTTCTTTATTCATTCTCTCATTCATTCATACATTTGTTCAATTATTTATTCATCCACTGACTCACCATGATAACCGCTTTTGTTTGATTCTTTCTTCAACTCAACTTTGAAGTATTTGTCGCTTCCTAAAGTAAACATGCAACATCAATATTGCATCAGCAGCCAACACGCCACATTAGCAGCAGTAAAAACTAACACGCAACATCAGTAACAACAACAACTAACGTTCAACGTCAATTGCAGTTGCAACCAACAATACCAACAATGAAACTTGCATCCTCAATGTTTTAACTAAAAATCTAACTGTTGCTGTTGTATCCAAACTCATTATTTCATGTTATTACGATCATTATATTTTTCAGTAACTTTCGCTAACCTCTGCTATTGATATATCTATATTGGGTGACTACCGAACTTTCAAGGTCGCAAACTTTAATTTTCTACAGAGACAAACTTCTGAAACATGCGGTAGTACCAAAACAAGGCACTTTTCTGCACTCGATCAACGCTTTTATTCCAGTTGCTTATGCAATTCAAGTAGGATTTGTAGCCAAACTGACCGTGTAATGACTTGGTTTTCATTTTGTTATCAACGCGCTTGATCTTAAGCTTGCAAACATTTTGCGGTACATCTTTAGCCAGGTGCGGCCTTGTTAGTTGACAATAAAAAGATAATGGAAATAAAAGTTTTTGTCTTACTAGATAATTTCTCAATGAGTTGCCTAGTAGCAGCATCAGCAGTTGAATATGGTTTGATGACTGGCTCGGACATGAAGCGCTGCCTTGGTTTCGGCTGCTGATGTGGTCGCTGGCTGTCGTCATCATCTTCAATGTCATCGTCGTCGTTGTTGTTTTTGTGTTGTTTTGGTTGCTGAATGGCGGAGGAGGTGTGCTTGATTTTCGTTGAGCGGCTGTGTCTTGAAAACTGTTGACAAGGTTTTGTGGTTTAATGATGACTCTTGATCAATTTTATCAGTACGTTATGAAAAATTTTGAAGTTTTCTACATGTTTAACGTTTACATGTTTAATGTTTAACGGAAACTTCTCAAAAGAAAATTATTAATTAAAATTTAAAGAAAAATACGAGAAATATCAAAAATAAAGGTAATAAATAGAATGCACTCTCATCACTTTGTTTGTGGAAAAAAAATTCGTTGATAAATAGCGGATGGTCATAAAAAATGTTTCTATTAAGAAACTTGCCTATTAAAATTGAAGTATTGGCATGGAAATTTCTTATTTCAAATAAATTAGTTTCATCATCGTCGTCGTTTTCGTCACTATTTTAATCGTCATTTCCATCAACATCATCATCATCATCATCATCATCATCGTCGTCGTCGTCATCATCATCATCGTCATCGTCATCATCATCATCATCCTCACTTTGTATGATCCACTTCTTCGATGTCCAGCACTAGTCACCGGACTGACGGATGACACGCGTCTTCGAGCTTCATCCAGCCGTGATGATCGCTGCTGCAGTGGCTGCGCTTGTGGTTGTTGTTCTGGTTGTTTTTGTTGTTGTTGTTGCAGGTAATTTTCAGACTGTTGGTATTCATTTTCGAGACTTCCATTTTCATAAATGGTTTCCTCTATAACTCTTCTACTTCTATGTTTGATGGCGCTACCAATTTCAGGTTCCTTATTAATAAAACCGGAACCGGAAATGTTTTCATCTCCGACGTCCGTCGAAGTTTCCGAGTCAAAAATGTCGGAGTAATTATGACTCGTCAATATTTTTCTCTCGGAAATCGATTTTCGATCTTTGGATGATCTGCTATTTTTGCTTGACATTCCAGTTGCGTTTGCACTGTTGTTGATTGAATTCGTTGCTGTGTTTGGCGGGGATGTTTTGACTCTTTTTAAGATCGGTTGTTTTCCTCGATGACGAGTATGAGTTTCAGTGTATTTCTCCTTCTCATGCGTTTCATCGTATTTGAATTCAGCGCCATCCTCATATTCATACACACCATCCTCTTCTTCTACCTCATCACCGTATTCATTGTAATCATCTTTGTAGTAGTTGTATTGATCATCTTCATAGCCGTCACCATATTGTCCATCATCTTCTTCGCCATATTGTTCACCATACTGCTCGCCATAGTGATCGCCATACTGGTGGTCATCGTATTGGTCATCATACTGGTCGTCGTATCGTTCGTACTCATCTGGTTGCTGTCGCTGGCAAGGACGATATTGGTTGTTGTAAACTTGATGGCGATGATGATGGCGATGATGATTTTGTTGTTGATGTTGATGATCTTCCTGTTGCTGCTGTTGTTGGTAGTAATAATGAGAATGATCTTGTTGTTGCGAATAGCGCCTTGATCGATGTTGCTTATTAAAATCATCGGCAGTAGCACTTCTCACAGCAGCAGCAGTAGTAGTAGTGGTGGAAGTAGTTGCATTTTTTCCTTTCCCAACTCTTAATTCATCGTTAACAGCTTTTTTTTCTTGACCATCATCACCATCACCATTTTCATTGTTATCATAACTCCGTGAACGTGACCAAGTCAGTTTTCCACGTCTGCCGGCACGTACACGAGTTAAATTGTTATATTCATCACTATCATTCTTGTTGTAGTAGCCATTGTTGTTGTTGTTGTTGTTGTTGTTGTGATATCTTACATCATTCTCGTTTCCAACAATGTTGTTACTTTTGCGAAAACTTTGTGGTTTTGCAGTATTGGAACGGTTTCCTTCGTTTTCGCTCAATGTTTTGTCGTTGTTGTTGAGATTGTAGTTGGTTTTGTTGTGAGGGAGGTTGAATGCATCTTCTTTTCTGTCCATCATTTTTACAGGAAATGATTGCCTTCTTGCATCCAAATTATAGCCTCCCTTCGACTGTAGTTGTTGCGTTTGAGGCGATGATTGTGTTGTTGGGAGTGAATGTTGTTTATGTTGCTGCTGCTGCTGTTGGTGGTGCTGTTGATGTTGATGCTGTTGATGTTGATGTTGTTGTGGATGTTGATGGTGCTCCTGGTGTTGCTGTTGAGTTGGTGGCGGTGTAGAAATTGTTGC